TTCCTGCTGCAAACTCCACTTGTACTGTGGATCACATGTTGTGAGCTTTTGGAATTAAAGTTGCATTGGAAGTGCTTAAAATGTGACAGACATTTTGGTAGCACTAGTATAAAAGCTTTAAAAACTTTTTTTAAATGAGCCTGTAGTATATGCAGTTGTGTCAGCATTCCAGAATGTACTGTTTAGAAACACTTTCACATCTAGTGAGGCTTAGGAGGGTGTGAGTGCTCTGCTTTTCCTCTGCATCTATTATTAATCCATATTGTCCCTGAAGAAATCTTACTCAGCTCCATGACTTACACTACAAAAAACCAAAGGAATTATGAAATAGTAGGAGTGTTGCTCTTAAAAAAGCAATTTTTAAACACTGTTTCAGTTCTAAAGATTTTTCAAAGGGACTGGATAGGTTTCAGTGCATATTGGGAATAAATTTTTTTAATTCAAAGAAATTTTAATCGTATTTTAAATTATTGATGCCAGAGGTGTCACAGTTCTTCCAAAACTCTGGTTGGTAGGCCACTAGCAAAGAGAATTGTTACTGTCTTGAACCTGTTATGAGTAGTGGAGAAAAACGCCTTGGAAATCCAAAAAAGCAATTGCAAATGAGTGAAAAAGAAGGCAGTCCAGGTGCTGTGTTTGGAAGCATTGGTCCCTGTCCAGAGCAACTTATAGAAGGGACGATGTCTAAAGAAGACAGCAATGAGGCAGCAGAACAGTAGATTTGGATGTCAGGAAATGAAGAAAAATGAGTAACTGAATATATACCTATGTGTATCAGAGTAGTGGAAGGTAATTATCACATATGCAGAGTTTGAGGAGGAAAGGGAAGAAGTTGGGCAGTGGGAAGGATGGAAGAGGATTTTAATTAAGAGGCTGGAAGGGGTCAAATGAAGTAGATATTTATCATTTTGTAGAAGCCAAAATGAGTTTTCCTACCAAAGCCTTGCTGTTATGCATCTTTTAAATCAAAACAATCATTTATGAGAAGTTAACGACGGAAAGAGGGAATACAGCTTTTGGTTCAGTTTTGAAATAGAGCTCTTGCTTCTGGTCAAGTTACTGTGACCTCACAAGTTGCCATGTTTATCAGGGAAGTTCCCACAGCTCCAGTGACTCATGATAATTTGAGTTTAGTGTGTTACTTCACATATTCAAAAGGCTTTGAGCATACACAATTGCTGTATTCGTTTGGAAACAGTAGCTTGTTAAGTGATTATGAGCAGATCATGAACCTGCCTCCTGTATGTACAGTGAGATCTCTTTATTCCTTCCCAGGCTCTCTAAACCAAAAAGGCACTAGAAGGCATCATCTTCACAATGGTTTTTTTTTTCCAAGATAGGTCTTTAAGAAATGTAAATAAGGCTAGATGTAAGAATGAGGTAGACAAAGAAAGCCTGCAGCATGGGAGTAAGGCTCTGGAGAAGGATAGGCAGTGCAGACTTGCCTCCACATTTAAGTTGCCACTCATTCTTTTCCAGATGCAAAGCCTGAGGCAACCTGCCTCAACTTTCCGGACTGTATCTTGTGCTACTGAGCTGCAATTTTACCCAGTGTGTGGGTTTTTTAAAAAATCAAAGGTTTAAACTTCAACATTTCAGAGTGGATTTGAATGAGACTTCCCCCCTCCCCATCTTTTTAGTATAATGCAACTTCACCTGTTCTAGATGTTGAATCCAGTCATGGGGTTGGTGGGCACTACTTAACTCATGCTGCTGACTACATTAATTTATTAGAGGATCCCAGGTGATATTGATGGCTTAACTGAAGACAAATCAAGTCCACCAAACAGCCTTTATGTTAAGCCAAGGTCTTAAGAGCCACTGGGTGCATATACCTGGAAAGTAGTGAGTAGATGTCTTAGCAGGGTAGCAGACTTCTATTTGAAGTCAGAGTGTTTTACTTTGATTTATGTAATTTTATTTAAACAGAAAAATTGTCTTCAGTCAACTTTCCTTTTGGGCGCATGATTTTCAGTAGGATTGGGTTGGGTTTTTCTCCTTTTGAATGACAAGAGAGCAACAGTAAGTTTTGTTTGAAATACTGTTTGATCACTTGATTGGTATGATTTGCTGAAATTTGGTAAGAGTGTGCATTAGACCATGAATAGCCTGATGTTTCAGGAATATCTGCTGACCAGCTCTCTCACTTTTTTTTTTTTGTGGTATGTGTGGGGTTTTTGTTCTTTTTGTTTGTTTGTTTGGGGGGTTTTTTGGTTTGTTTTTTTTTAAACACACAGTCACTTCTGAAATCCATCTCATAGCATTAAGTAGCATTTAGGCAGCTACTTGTTAGTGTCCTGAAAATCTCTCCTTGAACCAAAATTTTCATTGTTACCTATTAGAAATTGATTCAAAGTGGATTTGTGTCTGAGCCCAAAGCAGTAAACAGAGG